AGGGAATGTACGGATGTTGAATGGTGATGGGAAACAAGAGGACGTCACTTTCACCGCAGCGGGATAGAAGTTCAACATTTTGGCACTAACAGAGACCCAGCTACCAGATCAAGACATCAGCGGTTTGAAGAAGAATGGCAGTTCTACTGGTCTTGCAACCGAGACTCTCGCCGCCAGGATACAGTCATAGTTGTGTTGTCCCTCTGAGCGACAAACGTTTTCTTAACCATCGATACACAAGCGACCGTATCATCGTTTGCTGATTCGAAACGAGAACACGTCAAGACGAATTTTGTTGCCACATAGTTCCGAACAACTTTTCAGAGGGCGATAAGCAGCACTAGTTTCACACTGTCCTCATGCGGTCTTCGGTTATTTCTGACGGCATTAGTTATCGATCGTCACAGTGACCTCAACGCCCACATTGGTAGCGACCATGACAAATGGCCTATGTGCTGGTCGACATGACAGCAGCCATGGCCTGTTAGCCCTTTGTGTCCCAAACGGCCTCATCATCGCTGTTCCCGCACTGTCTCATCCATCAGCAAACGAGGACGGCGCCAGGAGGACGCTTCGTAGTCATATTGATCACATGCTTATCAGGAACAAATGGCGAAATGCCTTCCACAATATTTGGGCGAAACGAAGTGCGGGCATCGGAACTGACCGTTTCTTAGTAGTCGCGAAACTTTGCCTTCCTATGGCAGCAACTAGAGGAAGAAACTGAAAAATGAGGAACCTTCGTTTCATACGGAGAATTAGAAGGATCCGTCATTCGTTCCAGATGGAAATCAGCAGCAAATTCGCTGTTCCGAAGGCTGTCATCATCTCACAACACTTTGAGCTGCTTGATAACCGCCTTAAAGAAGGTATCGTAGACGCCACTGTCAAGGCTGTTAGCTTCAGCAGTAGAAAAACGAGGTAACCCTGGGACATTACAGAAACTTTAAGTGTTTCTGAGTCCTGGAAAGAAACGCAGCGGAATCATTAAGTGACCCTGACGAAATGAAGTGAAGAGTGTCGCTTTTTCACAAAAATGGTCAGCTGGAGCTACCGCAAGAACAGGCAACGATGACTGGGCTTCGAAGCACTGAAGTTTTAAAGAACTGCGGCGAAAGTGGCCTGGAAGATGCCA